AAGTAGGACACATGCCGTTTCCAATACCGAGCTTGTAAGTCGTATAAAGTGACCGTAATGTACCACTCAGGGCTAACGTTCCCAGATGTTTCTGCCTGCATTTATACATGTTTTAAAGCAAGAATAAAGCATATTCATCTTTTCCAAAATAATACGAACTTAAAATCTCTCCTGTCGTAGCAAATTATTTACGTTGGCAGTAGGAATAATACTTTACAAAAAAAAGAAGCTAAGTTATATCTTATTTTGCTTATTCTTTGGAAAAAAAATCATAGTTTTGAGAAAAGAAGTATTAAAAGGCTATATCCATTCAATTCCTGGTTCTGTGATATAGAGGCTCTTAGGTGATTGGTTTAGTAGCCCTAATTTACATGCGGCTGGAATGTTTTATTAGGAACTAGTTTCAAACATACAGGAATTAAAAACAACAACAACAGCGTGCGTGTGCGCGTGTGCTCACCATGCAGCTCACCAGATACGGGCGTTTTCCTGCTGTTACTTCTGCAAGGAATAAACTGGTCAGCGGTGACAGCTGAAGCCCTCCCTGTCCTGGGGTCAGCGTTCCCTTGGATTCCATGTCTGTCATCTGTATCCACGTCTTAAACTTCCTCTAGTCTGTGTCCACAAACTGCGTTGCTTTGCTCTGCCTGTTTTCAAGCTTCATGGTACCGGTGTCACTTTCATGGTGTTTTGAAAAGCTCACCCTGTTTTGCCAACACCTTGAAACAGAGCCAAGCAGACCCAGTAACCAGAGATTGTGAAAAGACATCGCCCAGCACACGGAACTGTGCAAAAATAAGGCAGCAAAATCGATGTATAGATGATTTGTTTGAATGGTGTTTTGTCTCCCTTGGAGGGGACAGCGTGGGTCCTGTCCCGCGACTTGCTCCCCGGTTAAAAGGGGAAAGCAGGTTTCCGTCTGGTAGTGAGCACTCTTGGCAGTGACACTTCTGTCTTTGTAAGCAGGCAACTTACAGGCTGCCCCTTCACGGCTCCTTTTGTCACATGGGGGAAAGGAAAACATGTCTGGAGGAAAGAGGTGGTAATTATATTATCCCAGCTTTTCCTTCCTCTGTTCGTCGTCTGCGGAGGCTGCGTGGTCACTGTTCCGGTGCGCCACCCCCGCCCCGCGGCCCGACCGTCTGTGGTGGGTGTGACGCCCTCCTGTTAGGTGTCTGGCTGTGTGTCGGGCTGGACGCCCTGCACACTCACTCCCGCCCCAGGTAGCAGGCTTCACATCTGAGGCGCTCACACCACCGTCTCACCAGTAGCATCAGGATGTGCTGTGGGCGATGTCGCCTCAGAGTTGGCAGACGCAGCAGGAAACCTGATGGGGGTTCGTAAGAGCTGCAGTGTGTTGTGTCCAGTGGGTTTGTTTTAGTTTAGTTGCTGGATTTCCGTTTTACGGTATGTACCTCAGCTTGTTGTGCCCGGAGTCCCCGTGGGACAGACACAGCAGACCCTCCTGCCTCACAGGTCGCCACTGCTCTGTCCTTGAAACGGTAGCTTTATGGCTCTTTCCGCTAAAGTGTTAAGAGTTGCCGGGAGTTTTCTGTTTCCTTTCGGCGGTGAAGTCGCACCTAAGTTCTGATCTCATTCACCTCGGGGTGTGTGATCCAAGACTGAGGTTTAGTTCACCACCCTGCTTCATGTGGAATCTGGAAGTTCTGCTCTGAGAACAGAGTGATTGTGGGGGCAGATGTGCTGCCTTGAGGAAGATGTTAATTTTTTTTTAATGTTTGTTTTGTTAATTATTCTGGTTAATAGAGAATAATGAAGATGGATTTCCAGATTTAGAAATCTAGAATTCATAAACTTCTAAAGGTACCATCAGTGGCCTCTGGTGATTTAAAACAATTTTAAATGTTACCACCACGAGCTTTGAATCTCATTTTATAAATAGTGAGCTCAAGCTCCAGCTGTCCCATGAGTTGAAATGTGGGGAAAGAGAATTTAGGGCTGTTAATACAGTTCTTACCATAGATTATTAATTACAGAATTAATTAAAGGGAAAAATGAATCCCTAAGTACCTAACTAGAATTCACAACAAGGAATTGATAAATCTCTATTTTCTTCTTAACCCAAACGTTAAATAAACCTCATGTTTTATGTTCTCCTGCAACTTTCTGTTCGGTGCTTGTTTCATTTCCTGTTATTTCGTTCCAGGCTTCTACATCCTAAAGGAAAAAAGTGCACAGTGCCTGGCACTTCGTAGGTGTTCAGTAAATGCTGGTTACTTATAATCCTCGAAGAAGCCTGCTTTCTAACGAGCGTGTGTCCATTGTGGTGTCAGATCTGAGTTTATGTCATGGAAACTTTTATCCCTTAGTCCCCAAGACATCAACCCCCTGTTAATATTAAAAAATAATAATAATAAAACCAGCTGCTCCATCTCACACCCTTTGAAAGTGGATTTCATTAGCTCCTCACTGCAGCACCGGACACCACAAAGTCTTTTCATTTCATATATCATCTCAGATTTGAAAAGCACATGAAAATGTTTCTCCATTTTCAATATTGCGTGAGTAATGTTCCCATTGAAAAGTAATGGAGTGAAGTTGTCACTTGTCAGCACAGTTATTAAGGAGGACGAGTCTCAGATCTTTCTCTCATAATAAAATAAATCTGTCAGAAAATCATTGTGCTCACACTTTCTCATGCCACCAAGAGATGGAGACTTTGCCGTGGCGCTCCTTCGGTGTCCCCGAGTCATGGTAGGCTGGGGCCGTGGCTTCCCTGGGGCGAAGCATCGCCACCCTGCCTGCCGGTTGCCAGCTCCCGGGCAGCGCACGTCCGTCAATAGTACGGCCAAGAAGACCGTTCGGCAACTTGGCAAACAAAGCTGCTCATTTCCCCCCAAAGCACAGACGTTTTGTCCAAAAAAGATATTTTCAACCTCTTTTTCCCTTTGTAATTTTTTGCGATATCTTACACCAGCTTAACTTTGAACCTTCTTTTTCTAACTGGAAGCAATAAAAAGGAACGTTAGCAGCACCTTGATACGAATCGAGGACGTACCATTAAATTGCACCACTGAGTCATTAATAGAATTTTTTAAATCCTTCAGACGTTAATTAAATATATACATTTATGTCAGAGGTTTCCCAAACAAGCAGCAAGCAGTCCTTTTCTTCTCGGCTGGATTAACTGCAGCCTTTGAATGTGTTTTCCTGTTGGGCGTTACTTTCCTATATGGTCCATTGGTTTCTAGTAATTGAATTTTGAACTCTTTACAGAAAGAATTAAGAGCTAATTTTGCAGTGGAAAAGTCGGGGGAAAGTTTAGGAGATCCTCTGAAACAGGATGGCTCTGCGGAGATGGACTTCTTAGCCGTCCGCTGCGCACACGGAGCTCATCCACCCAGGGCTTCTGGGTGTGAATTTCGCAGAAACTGTGCAGAGGGGGTTTCACCTCTGCGATCTGGAAACCGCAGCCCTTCCCTAAATGCTAACTTGGTTTTTGCTTTGCAGTCTCGGAAAGGGAGTGACCCAGACAAAGAGAAGAAAGGCCTGGAGAGTCGGGCGGACAGCATCGGGAGCGGTCGAGCCATCCCAATTAAACAGGTATGCCGCTTCCCCCAGTGTGTCCCTGTAGCCGGAGACACACCCCAGGTCTCTCCTCGCCGCCATGCTGGCTCGTGTGCCAAAGTTTGTTTGATGTGCTCTGTTGATGAATGTAGAAGTCACTCACTTGACATCAATTAGAAGAGGTTCCTGTGTGTATTAAAATAGGATCATTAGAATAAGAAGAGGGAAAATGTGACAACAGATCTAATGCGGTGCAGTCTGCCCGCCTGCATATGGAGTGTTTCGAGGCTGAGCTGGCTTCAAAGGCTGCCTTTGTAGCCCGGCTTTCATTGGGCCGCTGGCCGCCAGTCGACGGGGGTAAATCAGATCGCTATACAAGAGCCCCTTGTGATCACAGGAATAGCCCGACGTGGCCCTAATTTGCTCTCGCAGACGGACATCTGAACACTGTTTCAGGCTGGTTTGTAACAACGAGGCAATTAGTTGTGATAATCATAGCCCGTGTGTCAGCTGTGCGCTCTTGTTTGTAATTTGCTAATGAAGGAATTGTAACTTTGATTAGGTTCAGTTTCATTTAGACCTTATTATATAAAGGAACATTTACAGCTGTAATGTGGGGCCTTAATTAAACTTCCTCATTACACAACAGGACTCGAATTCAAGCATTTGTTTTGGCCTATGTTGCTCGCCTGGAATAGGTTTTCATTAGCCCAGAAGCCAGGTACCAAATGACTTTTTGTCTCAAGTAAAACGGGAATTCACGTGACCTCCTTTGCTGTTACTTTTCCAAGGAAAAGAAAAATAAAGAGTTCCACCTGGCCCCATGGCTCCTGGAAATGTCACCTTTTAGTTTGCTGAGGAAGGCCAGTGGATTTAGCGCGCGTTCTGTTGAAGAGGGCAAGGATTCTGTGGGCAGGTTCACGGCTCTGCCCCTTAGGAACACTTCTGTGACCGATTTGTCCCTCCAGGGTGACCACGTTTTGCCACCCTCTTCCGTGAGTACCTGGACAGTTTTACGAGTCCTGCGGGAACCCCTGTAGGCACCGGCCACCCTTAACGAGGGCCAGAGCCCACAGGGTAGTCTCACCCATTTGGAAGCAGGAACACAGCCTCAGGTAAGGGCCAGGCAGTTTCTGCATGGAGGTGTGGCCACCAGCCTCAAAGGTGACACCAGAGCAGGGAGGCTGCGGGGCTTCCGCAAGACACGTTCAGACACTGGGCAGCCAGTGTGCGGGCTGGCTCGGGCACCCGCTGAGAGCAGCCCTCTTCCCTTCTCTGCTGTCCTCGCTCGTAAGCAGCGTCTTCACTGTACAGGTCCACGGACACAGCTGTGTGTTCTTTCTTTGTGGGTTTATTTATAAACGTAACTCTCCACATAAGGTAGTTTTAATGCGTAATTTTCGTTCTGTTGAGCTGTTTCAATGAGAATTATAAAACTCGTTCAGCTCTTTTCGTCTCATTCGAAAAAACTGGTCCTAGGACATTTCCTTTTGCGAATATTAGAACTTAATAGAGACCGTTTCCTTAATTCACATGTCCTGTGGCTTAGGGGCTGGGCCTTCTGGATCCGCGGAAGCCCGGCGGGCCCCTCCTTCGCTGAATGTGTACCTGCTCCTCTGCAGAAGGGTTTGCTTTGCAGGCTAGGCTGTCAGTATGCGTGCAGGTTGGGGTTGACCGTCAAGCGTAAAATGAGTATTATCCAGTCCTTGGAAGCCTTTCAGTTGTGAGTGTTCAGAATCATCCAGTCGGGCTCTAAATCACGGTCTGGCTTTGGGGGATCGGGGTGCAGGCTGGGCACACAGCTCGGGTCCTCCCAGCTGCCCCGATGTGCGGCCACGGGCGGACCGCCTCCTGGAGACCAGGTGCCTGGCCTCGGATTCCTCCTCTGCGAAATGGGCACTGGATCACATCCAGTTCCTGGAAACCCCAGGATGTGGAGATTCCAGAGAGAAGTTTTAGATTCTGGCAGAACTGGATTTTCAGATTAGTTGTGCTCAAAACACCCTAGTCGGCCTCGCTCTGGATCACACGGACTGATGTGGGTTTGTACACAGTCATACAGATTTTTCTGTTTTTACACAGGAAGCAAGACCAGTAGAGACAGTCTCAATTCCTAACCCTCCCAGTGATGACTTCAGCCAGCAGAATGAGAGAGGTTGCAGAGGAGGGAACCTGGCGGGGCAGCGCCTGCTGGAATGCCCTAGACGCTGAGACGCTGCAAACCTAGGGCAGCGAGCGGCTGCTTGTTACTCGCTGCGCACTTTCCCGGCAGCCTCTCCCTGAATCCTCAGCGTTGCCGCGGTGGAGGCAGCTGTGTTACATACTTACCTTAAACCCACGGAGGGTGAGCTTTCCAGGCCAGGCGTCCACGAAGCCACGGGGCCAGGATTCAGGTCCCAGCCCCCCCGCCCCCGCCTGTGCGCTCCTCACTCTCTGTTGGTGAAAAACCTTCAGAAAGCTTAGGAAGCAAAGTTATGTGTTTTATGCTAAAATGTGACCCCTGACCCCAGGCTGCCTGGCCTGGGGAGAACCTTCTAACATGTGCCCGCAGCACCCTGCTTCTCTGAGTGTCCCCGCTCCTCTGTGCCGGGGCTGGGCCGGGTCCCTTCATCCGGCCCTGATTCCCTGCCCTTCGCACCAGCAGCAGAGCCCTCGCCCTCGTCTAAATGCTCGGTCCGCGTTCAGAGTACTTGGTCTGCACTTCTGGGCCAAACCCCAGCTCTTGGTCCCTTCACTAACGGCAGAGAAATGGTCCTGAGCCTCAGGGCTCCGTGGGCGGGTGCTGGTGACGGCTCTGGGACTGGCCGGTCCTTGTGGCCCTTGCAGGTCTTGCTTCCGCTCCGCACAGGAATCCCGTTGGGGACGGTGTAGGACACTGGCGAGGTCGTCTCCCACGCACCCTGCATCCTGACTCATGTCTTTACTCAAACGTGTTCCGGTGGGTTATTTTAACCACGTTTGGCTCACAGTTTGTGCAGCTCGTTCGCTGGCTGTGAGGATGGGGCTCCTTCTCCTGGCGTGGGAGCAGCCTTTGCACGACAGGGTGATTTCACCTCCTCCTTCCTTCCCAGGGAAAGCTTTCTCATCAGGCAGATGACTGACTTTCTGCAGAATAACTCATTTCTTCTGGATCTGGGCCCACCTGCCCTGTTTTGTCCTTTTTGGGTCTTAGTGGAGATTTGGTTGAGAGAGTTCTGTTTCTTGTCTTTTTTTCTTTTCTCTTTCTTTTCCTTTTTACTGCCAAGAGAAGGTCTATTCGAATAAAAATGGAAAAGCAAAGCAAGAAAAATAAAAAGCCAGAGGCCCGGCTCGGCGGCGAGTGGGCTTGTCACGTATTAATTTTTCATTGCTGTGGAGAGTTGTACATACATAATCACTTGATTGCAGTGGGAGTTAGGGAGCGCCTGTGGTGTCATTTGCATAAATCTTGTTAAGTCAATGGCAGTTAATGAAGTACAAATGAGCCCGGAGAAGGTGACATGCAAATCGTGGGTGGCAGATGGGAGGTCTGTTTGGGGGACGGCAGCTGTGTGCTCTTTTTTCTTTCTTTCCCTTCCGCGTTTTTTAATCTCTATATTATGGTCCAGATCCCCAGCCTCAGCCTGGCCTCCCCCTTCCCGGCAGATCCCGGCCGGGCGCTCGGTCCACAGAAACAGACCACCCGGCCTGGCCTCGCACCTCCTGACATCCACTGGAGTGCATTTGAAGTTTTAAAGTCTCGGTCAGTTTATCTTGTCTCCCTTACACAATTGAAAATCTTTTATTTGTAAGGACAAACAGAAAACAGGAAAACTTCTCGCTAAATATTGTGGGATTTCAAAGACTGAGAAACCCTGTCTTTGCTTCTTTATGCTACTGTCTTGGAGTCTGTCCTTCCCCCTTTAGACCGACCGATTGACGGTGTTTGTCCAGTCATTACCTCCATCCCATGTTCACAGTCCGGCCCTAAGGCGTGGGCGTTCCTGGGTTAGTCAGGACGGGAGACTCGGGGGTTCTGTGATGCTCCCTGGATACACCAAGCACAAGTGTCCTCCTGGGACTTTTTTGAGGTCTTACTTTTGACCTTGGCCTAGATGTCCTGGCCGCCTCTGGGGCAGCTGGCCAGCCTGGGAGAGCGGAGACTTTCCTGCCGCCTGAATGCTGGGGAAAGCCCTTCCCAGGGCATCAGAGGCGGAGCGGCCTGAGTGGCGTTTTCCTCAGCGCCTCACCATCGCCCGCGAGCCGTTTTGAAGTGGTGCGCGGTTTTGATTCTCAGCTGAGTAGAAAGCACAATTGTCAATTAAGTGAAAGGATCCTCTGGAGTTAATCCCCTTGGCCAGCCTGCCCCAGGCCGCTGCCCCGCGCTGTCTGGTACCCGGGATCCACGCGAGGGGGCGGTTGTGTGGCAGCCACAGCATCAGAGCCACCGACACTGCTCACTTCAGCGTCTCCGGGAAGTGCAACACCGATCACGGCCGTCGTCCGCTTTCACGGAGGAAACAAGATCAGAGACTGGGCCGAAACTTTAGACAGGCTGGAAGGGAAAGAAAGTGCCGGGTGCGCCCCCCTCCCACGATGTGGGAGAGCTCGTGCCGCGGGGCTGCGTCCACGACCCCCAACCACAGGGAGACCTGTGAGCACCAGAGCCCTGAGAACACACCGCTCACCCATGTGGCGGGTCCGCCCTGCCTGGCCCCGGCCCAGCCGGCTGCCCTCAAAGCGGGTAGTTTACTGACAGGGACCCGGGGCCCGAAGCTGATTTACGTCACTCGGGTGGACAGCTCCCGAGGGGACTGCGTCCGCCCTGGTTCACGACAGACTCGGCCAATTACCATCATCAATGTAATGGGTCGGGTGGGTGCATCACATGCATTTAATTAGACTCCTCAAATATCACAGTGTCATTGGCAAAACAGTTTGGAATATCTGGGTGCCCACGTTGGAATTTATAGTCACCCATCTTTGAATAAGTAGGGCAGACCCTCCTCTGCCCCCTCATGCTTAGGTCGCTGCAGGTGGATGGCAGTATGGTCTGTCCAGAATGCCCAGAATGCGGA